TTAGTCCTGGTCTAGTCCTGGGTTAGTCCTGGTCTAGTCCTAGTCCTGGTCTAGTCCTGGTCAGTCCTGGTCTAGTCCTGGTTAGTCCTGGTTAGTCCTGGTTAGTCCTGGTCAGTCCTGGTTCCTGGTGTCGGTTTCCCATGATGCCTTGGGAACAGTGGGGGAGTGGCGTTTCTCTGGCTCCGCCCCTCGCTCCTGTCGCCGCGGCGACGTGAGAACGATGATGTCATGGCTGACGACGGCTCCCGGCCCCGCCTCCGCGCGGCGGTTGCCGTGGCGCCTGTCGCTGGTGGCCGTGGAGATGGCGGTGGGCGTGTCCCTGAGTGATGTCACTGTGGCTCCGGAGCGCCCCCTGCTGGACCACAGCGCCCCCCCGTACATCAGCACCGAGCACAGGTGAGTCCAGACCGGGGTCAGTCCGGGTTTAGTTCTGGTTCAGTCCTGGTTCTGACTCTGTCTCTGTTTCAGTTACGGTCGCTCGTCTTGGCTCAGGTGAGTTTATTTATTTATTTGTTTATTTGTTTATTTGTTTTGTTTCATTATTATAGTTATTTTCATTTTTTAACCAATTAAATTCAAACTAAAATATGGGGCCGTGTGATTGGCCACAGTTTGGGGATTTCTGCCCGGCGACAGCAGAGACATAGAGCCAATCACAGCGCTCGCAGACGGCCCCTCCCCCTTCCTCCCGTGCCGACCAATGGGCTCACAGCGTCACTGACAACTACCCAATCAGCTGTGAGCGCTGATCTGCCCGGCAACAAGAGAGACGTGAGTCACAAACATGAACAAGTACTACAGCGTATGAAGTACTCTGTGTACTCGCAGTATAAAAGTACTACAGCGTATGAAGTACTCTGTGTACTCGCAGTATAAAAGTACTACAGCGTATGAAGTACTCTGTGTACTCGCAGTATAAAAGTACTACAGCGTATGAAGTACTCTGTGTACTCGCAGTATAAAAGTACTACAGCGTATGAAGTACTCTGTGTACTCGCAGTATAAAAGTACTACAGCGTATGAAGTACTCTGTGTACTCGCAGTATAAAAGTACTACAGCGTATGAAGTACTCTGTGTACTCGCAGTATAAAAGTACTACAGCGTATGAAGTACTCTGTGTACTCGCAGTATAAAAGTACTACAGCGTATGAAGTACTCTGTGTACACGCAGTATAAAAGTACTACAGCGTATGAAGTACTCTGTGTACACGCAGTATAAAAGTACTACAGCGTATGAAGTACTCTGTGTACACGCAGTATAAAAGTACTACAGCGTATGAAGTACTCTGTGTACACGCAGTATAAAAGTACTACAGCGTATGAAGTACTCTGTGTACACGCAGTATAAAAGTACTACAGCGTATGAAGTACTCTGTACACGCAGTATAAAAGTACTACAGCGTATGAAGTACTCTGTGTACATGCAGTATTTGAAGTATTTGAAGTAAAGTACTTTGGTCCTCAGGTGAAGAGAGTTTCTCAGATCCGGATTCGTCGAGCTTCACCAAAAGAAACAAACCTCACCCCCCTGGGCCTCCCCCGAGCCAAACGGTACGACCAGGACCAGGACCAGGACCAAGGACCAGGACCAGGACCAGGACCAGGACCAAGACCAAGACCAGGACCAGGACCAAGACCAAAACCAAACCAGGACTAAACCAGGACTGATTTGTTTTTTTCAGTTTGAAGAAGAAAGAGTTCAGTTTGGAGGAAATCTACACAAACAAGAACTACAGGTCTCCATCTGCTAACAGGTGACTCCATGTCCCAGAATGCACCTGTGCCCGTGTGTCTGAGCGTGTCCTGTGTAGGAACAGCAAAGGATCATGGTCTGTGTAGTTCTGTGTGGCAGAACAGCAGCGCCACAGTTTGTGTCTCAGTTGAAATGACTTTATTTTGACACAAAACAAGAAGCAGAAAAATGTGTTGAAACATTTCATGAAGTAAAGACACAGATTGTTTTAGGTAAATTGAATATTTTGTTATTTTATTATTTTCTTTAAAAAAAAAACACAGACTGAAACAGACGAGTCTCCAGATTCAACTTCAGACAAATGAACCTCATGAGGCCAGCAGTGTCCTCACATGTCCTCACGTGTCCTCACATGTCCTCATGTGTCCTCACATGTCCTCACGTGTCCTCACATGTCCCTCATGTGTCCTCACATGTCCTCACGTGTCCTCACGTGTCCTGTCCTCACATGTCCCCACATGTCCCTCTGTCCTCACATGTCCTGTCCTCACATGTCCTGTCCTCACGTGTCCTCACATGTCCTGTCCTCACATGTCCCCACATGTCCCTCTGTCCCCACGTGTCCTCACGTGTCCCTCTGTCTCCACGTGTCCTCACATGTCCTCACATGTCCTCACATGTCCTCACATGTCCTCACGTGTCCTCACGTGTCCTCACATGTCCTCACGTGTCCTCACGTGTCCTGTCCTCACATGTCCCCACATGTCCCTCTGTCCCCACGTGTCCTCACGTGTCCTCACATGTCC